CCTCAAAACACTATTGCTAAATCTTTTTTTTTTCTGTTTTTTTTTTGGTAATGCCCAGACACATATTATAAGGATAATGGTCAAGAATGTATACGGTGTATAAGATCAGATATACAGTGTATATGGTGTACGAGGTCTTTGATTTGTATAAGATCAAATGGCACAAGTAGAAAATTGTGTTATATCATATCAGGGATGAGGTAAAAGATATGTTAATCCAATTAAAATGGGTCAAACTAGTTCTGATTCTATTTTTGTTATATTTATATTTTAAAATGTTTAGAACACTTGTCATAATTTTATTTATTGTACCACATACCTAGTCAGTAGAGATTACCTACTTACCGGTGAGTCCTTCTTTTTATATTATAAGGTTTCCTTATGTTGTTAGTTTTTTTATGGTTTATAATTTTTTCATTATAAATACATGGAACATAAAGAGTAGAATTATAATCAATTATCAATATATATATATATATATATATATATTGTAAATTTTCTTTCAACTCTGTCAATTGAATGTTATTCTTTTGTTCATTATTAAAGATTCATACCTTTGGCTTCGTGACTAAATAATCTATATTCATGTAACTTTGCAGTCAACAATAGCAAATGTTAGCACTTGTAAGACATACCTTCTTGCATTACGAAAAACTTGAGCAAATGATATTTACAAAGTAATTACATCTACTTAATATTATAAAGTGGACTGTGCAACAAGTTAAAGTATAAATTGTGGTTGTATGATAAATTGTGGTTGTATGAGTCCACTTCATGTGACATACATGCGCATGTATTAAATGTACAAAATAATTACATCTACTTAATATTATAAAGTGGACTGTGCATAATTTAATTGGTCAGTATAAAATAACATTGTACAAAAAAAATATTAAAGGAAAAAAAAAACGTAGTATAAAATAACATTGTATTACTGTTGTATTGGAGACTCTCGTCATCTTACGTCGCTTTCAATCGTTATTGATTATCATAATTACCTAGACTTCTGAAGGAAAGAATAATCTCTTTGAATCTTACCAACCCCTGCAACAGGTTGCACTTGGAGATTTTAATATGGTCCATAACAATTAATGATCACACCATTCTTTGAGGACCAGCACGGCTTGCACATAGTTTGAAGGAGCTTAAGGGCATTAAAGTCATTTCCACCAATTAAGAACTTTGTCAAATGGGAAAAGAATGATGGGTGAGAGCGTAAAGAATTATTGACTGAATGTTTTTAATTATGTATGAAAATATAGAAAAAATGGGACTTCTTATTTCTTTGTATCTTGTAGAGATGACTAATCAAGATTATTTGGACAAAAAAATTCCCATATGAATAACACTACTCATTTTAATTTGGTAAAATCTAAAATCAGAATTTCAAAATCGTATGTGCACTTTTGCATCTAAATCGTAAATTGAAGTTTTATAAATAAATAAAAAATCCATAAATATATATTTTTATTATTTAGATGTTTGTTTGACTGATTTTCTTACCTTTATCTAATTTGTTCTATTTTCATATATATAATTATCATTGATTAATATTTTCGTCTTTTAATTATTGGACTTATTTGCCTTTCAATGATAAAAGTAGGACATGGTAGTAATTTTTCCTTATTTTATTTGTATCACAAATTTATTTTAATTATTCAAATTATTATATTGTTTATTTCATCATTGCAGATGTCATGTACTTTATCAATTATTAAATTGAATCTCTTATTTAATGTTAAATTCTGTATGTAGTGTGTGATATATTGTGGAATAAAATATTCAAAATTTCCTAACAATTTACTCCACGAGAATTGAACTGCTGGAATATCACCTTTAACTATTTGGCATATTTTGTGGATTAGGAATCAAATCCTCCATGATGGAATGCCCAAGAATGTTTACCATACAGCCTAAAAAATAACCAATCAACATCTAGTTCCGATAGTATAATCTTTTTAATCTTAAAGACGAGGAGTTGGGTTTCCCCGGGTCTTGGTGTGAGCAAAAACAAATATGGGAATTGTGTTTTTTGTCATTATATATATATATATATATATATATATATATATATAAAAGTAAGGTAGTATTTACGACATTTCAAATACTTTAGGAAGAATAAGATATTTGGGTTATGTTTGTTGTTATGGTGTCAAGGACCTGTTCGTAGTTTAGTGGGACTTGTCACTTTTGTTTGGTGGAGGTGTTTTCCTTTAGTTTTACTTTTCTGGTGCTTATAATTGTTGTTTGCAGTTTTTAGGAAGCGCTTCTTTGAAAGCTATTTTGTAATTAGGGGAAGATATTCGATTATTCTCTTCTTGTTGGCTGGTTTTGGTTAACCGAAAGGTACTTGGGGGAAAAAATTAAATTTAAATTAAGACGGCCATTTCAAGTGAATTCCAAGCTTGAATTTGTTTGTAAGTTGTACAACTTTGTTTGATGGGTAATATTATCTTATTTCGACTCAAAACAATAAATCTAACTTGTGACATTTACAAGTATGCACATACATACATTTGCCAAATTTTGTAACCGCATTAGTAGACATGGTCACATGCTACATCTTTTTTCTTTAAAAAAAAAAAAAAAAAAAAAAAAAAAAAAAAAAAATCTATTTTTAAAAACTATAAAAACACTTGTGAAAAGACATTTTTAAAATTGTGTATTCAAGATATCCTAAAATTTCAAATTGGTGCAAATAGGTCCCTTTCACAAATTCAACCTCTAAGTTAACTAAATTACCCTTACTGAATCATTTTATAAAATATATAAAAATAAATAATTTTATAAAATGACCAAAAAGAACACTATTGAAGGATGTCCCTCATGTGCAAAAAATATCCCTAAAGTTTCAATCTGGTACAAATAGATTTCTCAAAACAAATTTAAACCCTAAGTTGACTAATTATCTTTATTGAATCATTTTATAAAATATATAAAAATAAATAATTTTATAAAATGACCGAAAAGAACATAATTGGAGGACGCTGACAATGAATAAGTAAAGATAAAAAATATATAATAAAAATAAAAATATAAACGTAAAGTAAATATAAAAATAAAAAATAAAAATAAAGTGCAAACTAAAGAAAATAAATTTCCTCCTAACTTCGAAAATCCGTGCTCACCGATATTGGAATTCTTTTTTTTTTTTGGTTAAAAAAAATAATAAATTAAAGAAAAACAAATTAATGGCATTTTCCGTTCACACTGCATCAAATTTAAAAGGTAACAACCATAGGAGCCCATTGCTCTCAACTTTTTTCAAAAAATTAGTAATAATAATAATAATAATAATAATAAATTAAATTTTGTGATGTCCCCTACCTGTAGTGCTCCAACCTCTGGACTCAGATATGACCCCCGTCTCTCTCTAAAAATTCAAGAAAAGTTGTGTTTGATAAATGCTCCATCAAAATCAAACTCACATAGCTAATAACGAAATCAAGATATCCAGGGGGGATATCCCTCATTGTTCAGTTCCTCCTGTATTCCTCATCTTTCTCTCTCTACATATATATATATACATACATATATATAAAGCACTCGGCAGTATCAAATTACTCCCACGGTGTCACAAAGACGGACATCACAAGTTCCACGTGTAATTGGGCGGCATAAAACTGGAATATTACATCATAACAAGTCGTAAACTAATGTGAATTCTCGGATTCACCAAGAAATAGTAAAACAATGATTAACAATGATTAACAGTGATTATGATGAACAGTGATTGGTTTTGTCTTGTATTATTTGGACTCATGAAGCATCTGTGTTTGTTTAAATTCCCCAATGAGCTCAGCAGTTATTGCCTGTGGAGGATCGGTCGTCACAACTTACGCCTATTGGGATTTCTTTTTCTGCCATTTGGAGGTGAATTTGAACTTCAACTACTCAAATCACATTTGTCCATATCATCTTTCAGGTTAGTTAATAATAGTTGATGCCTATATATAAATATATATATATATGTTTTTGTTTCTTGGTTCAATGAATGACTATGTGACGCATGTTATCTATTATGTATTCTGTGTATATACTTGGAGAGAGAAAAAGGGTAGAGGGAAATTAATCAATTATATCCTTCAATGCATGGGTAACTCTGTTTTACAGTTTTTGTAGTGTGTGTGTTTGTGTGTGTGTGTGTGTGTGTGTGTGTATAGATAGAGCGAGAATGTTGGGTTAGTAGGTAAAGAGTCATTGTTGTTCCTGATTCATATGCCAATTGGTTTTCTTAAATTCTGATGAACAATGGCATTTACTGGGAGAGGTATATACAGTGTTGCAAGCAGGTTGAGGCAGCTCAAGAAGCATCAATTGTTTATGTTTTTCTCTGTAAGGTACATTTTTTGTGTCCCATTGAGCTGTTTCTGAATTTCAAATTGATTCTTCAACTTGGGTTTTAACTTTTAACAATACAAATGGTCTTATTAATCAAACAAACAAAAAAACAAAAGAAAGAAAAATATAAGCTTTTAGTATTTCAAACTGATGAACAGCTTCTTTTAACACAAGAAGATGATGGTGGTTAATTTTTTTCAGTTATGTAGTTCTATTTTTATAAGGAGACAAAGGGATCAGAAGATAAAGGTGTTGTCTTTGGATGAACTGTAATAAAAATGATTCTATTTGTTGGCTCGTTTTGTTTGATGAAGAAATTAATTACAGAATAATAGTTTTGGATACTTTTATTTGTCTCTACCATTGTAATCTGTTGTTAGGAGCTTTGTTTTGAACGTAGAGATTTTTGGTTAGCATGGGTTTCTGATTTCGCTTTGTTTACGATTCGGTGAATATTTGAGTCGATAGAAAATCTCTGCTATGTCACACAAAACAACAAGACAAACAGGACCTTGATCGTTGGTTCCAAGGCTTGTATTATTAGTGAACTCCCCTGGTATTTATTTTAGAATTTTAGTAGTCATTGATGGAATTTGAGCCTCTCTTTACAATTTGATCTCAATAGGTCCTGCCAATAGAAGGCCTCGATTGCAGAAAATATGGACCTGAAAAAATCAATGGACGATCAATTCTCGAATCGACATCCATGTTTGCCAGTGAACACAAGAATTGGGATAGTGGGAGGTGGTCCAAGTGGCTTATCAGCTGCATATGCACTAACTAAGCTTGGTTACAATAATGTCACTGTGCTCGAGAAATATCACAGTGTTGGTGGCATGTGTGAATCAGTTGAAATTGAAGGTAACAAATAAATATAACAGCCTTGATTGCCTGAGTTTTGTTACTATAAATGTTATTAACATGTCTGAATTTTTATTTTTATTTTTTCTCTTGCAGGAAAGATTTATGATCTTGGAGGTCAAGTTCTTGCAGCAAACAGTGCGCCGGTTATATTTCACTTGGCAAAAGAAACTGGCTCTGAACTAGTCGAATTGGACTCCCACAAGCTTGCCCTCATTGACAGTTCTACAGGAAAGTACCAGGACATCCAAGTTGCAGATGATTATATATCCATGATTTCTCTAACTTTAGAACTTCAGGTAGTTTCTATTCTTGTGTACCGAGCTGGATAGTAGTTCAATTATTGAGCTCTCCACAATTTAGTTAAGTCTTCATTCATCTTTCACAGGATAAGGCAAAGGATTTAGGTCGAATTGGGGTCCACTCTGTGAGTGATTTTGCTTCAGAGTTAACTCCTAAATTTCTTGAGGTTCATGGACTCCATTCTGTTCCAAAATCTGTGGCCTATGGATACACTGCTTCTGGATATGGATATGTTCAAGACGTGCCTTATGCTTACATTCATGAGTTCACACGAACTTCCATGGCTGGAAAAATTCGACGTTTTAAACATGGGTACATGAATTTTTGGAAGAAGATTAGTGAAGTTTTGCCAATTGATGTGCACTGCAACACCGAAGTATTGTCAGTCAGACGCAGTCTATCTGGTGCCAATATTCATGTCAAAAATGGCAGTGGAGAATTTGAAGTTATGGAATTTGATAAAATCATCATTTCTGGGGCTTTTCCTTATAATAATGGAAAAACTTACCGATCACCGCATTCCAATTCAGCAGGTTTGTTTACTTATTTTCATAGGCTTCTACTTGATTTTGCCTTTTGTTTTGTCAGATGTTGAACTAGTCTTTGTCTCTGCAGAAACTAGGAAAGAGATGATGGATTTGAATGAGCTTGAAATGGAGTTGTTCAGTAAAGTACAAATTGTTGATTATTACACCACTGTTTTGAAGATTAAAGGGCTGGAACATATGCCGATTGGTTTCTATTACTTTGGGGAATTCATGGATGATCCTGCAACTATAGGGAATCCAGTTGCAATGCAGAAATTTCATGACGATACAGATATTTTCCTGTTTTGGTCTTACGGAAACTCTGCAGATATTAGGGGACCAAGAGTGACGAAGCTTGCAATTGATGCAGTTCAGAGAATGGGGGGAGAAGTTGAAAATGTAGTTTTACAACGGCGATTTAAGTATTTCCCTCATGTCAGCAGCCAAGGTATACTGTATAAATTAATGCCACACAGTTCACCACCACAAGCTTGTAGATGCTGATTCCCTTTTGTTGAATACAGATATGAAGGATGGCTTCTATGACAAAGTAGAGACTGCACTACAAGGTCAGCATAACACTTACTATGTTGGGGGACTTATGGCATTTGAGCTCACAGAGAGAAATTCATCTTATGCCATGTCTCTTGTCTGCAAGCACTTCGCAAATAATGATCCGTTGCCAATGTTTCCATATGCTAAGGTAATCTGACATTCTCAATTCTTTGTTGATCAATGGCAAGTTAGGAAATACGAATTTAGAAAATTTGTGGTTTAGTACCACCCATTTTACTTAATTGGAGCATTGTTTCCGCAGAGTTTGTTTCCACTGAAATCATATTGCTGGGATAGGATTCCCAGAGAGTTAGATGAATCACCAGGAGTGGAATTCGCCGACTTATCTACCCTGGATGGATATTTGAAGCACTGGGGAAGCCATAGAATTACTCGAAATAAAACACTCTATTCTTGGATTAATGAAGAAGGGGATGTGGTGTACCAAAGGACTTATGGAGAACTTCATGCCAATGCTTCTTGGATCGCTCAAATGCTCTTGAGAAACCAGAAACCTGATATAAAGTTTGGTGATAGAGTTCTCCTGGTCCATGTCCCAGGTCTAGATTTTGTTGATGCCTTTTTTGGGTGCTTGAGAGCTAGAGTAATACCAGTTCCAGTTCTTCCTCCGGATCCACTTCAAAGAGGCGGACAAGCTCTTTTGAAGATTCAAAATATTGCTCAATCATGCAATGCAGTGGCAATTCTGTCGACCATTGGTTACCATTCTGCTGTTCGGGCAGGTTCTGTGAAGAATTTGATTTTGTCGGCTGGTAAAAGTGGGAAGTCAGCTCGCTGGCCTAATCTTCCATGGTTACACACAGATTCTTGGACCAAGAACTCCAAAAATATGCTTGCAGAAGATATGGAAGATCATTCTGAACCAGCAGCAGATGATCTGTGTTTTCTTCAATTCACATCAGGGTCGACTGGTGATGCTAAAGGAGTGATGATTACTCATGGAAATCTCATTCATAATGTGAAGTTAATGCGAAAGAGATACAAGAGCACGTCGAAGACAGTACTAGTTAGCTGGCTTCCTCAATATCATGACATGGGATTGATTGGGGGACTTTTCACAGCTCTAGTTAGTGGGGGAACTGCGATACTATTTTCCCCAATTACCTTCATCAGGAACCCACTCTTGTGGCTTCACTCTATGAGTAAATACCAGGCTACTCACAGTGCTGGCCCCAACTTCGCTTTTGAACTCATGGTTAGAAGACTGGAATCCGACAAAGATAAGGCTCAGAATTATGACCTCTCTTCCATGATCTTCCTCATGATTGCTGCTGAACCAGTGAGGCAAAAAACTCTGAAAAGATTTGTTGAGCTCACTGGTCCTTTTGGCCTTTCCCAAGAGGTGATGGCTCCTGGTTATGGATTGGCAGAAAATTGTGTGTTTGTTAGTTGTGCATATGGAGAAGGGAAGCCCATCTTGGTAGACTGGCAAGGAAGGGTCTGTTGTGGGTATGTGGATCCTAATGATGAGGACATCGACATCAGAATAGTTGAGCCGGAATCGGGTGAAGAGCTTGAAGAAATTGGAAAGGAAGGAGAGATATGGATCAGCAGTCCAAGTGCAGGGATTGGGTACTGGGGCAGGGAGGAACTGAGTGAGAGAACCTTCAGAAATAAGCTTTTGAGCGGTAAGAAATACACAAGAACTGGTGATTTGGGACGGATAATTGATGGCAAATTTTTCATTACCGGAAGAATCAAAGATCTTATCATTGTTGCTGGAAGAAACGTTTACTCAGCCGATGTAGAAAAAACAGTTGAGAGCTCATCTGAAGTCCTACGTCCAGGTTGTTGTGCTGTCATTGGGGTTCCTGAGGAAATCTTATCAACCAAAGGGATATCAGTTCCAGATGGTTCAGATCAGATTGGTTTGGTTGTAGTTGCTGAGGTTAGAGATGGAAAACCTGTTAGTAGAGACATCATTGAGCAAATTCAAACCCGAGTTGCAGAAGAACATGGGGTCAGTGTGGCTTCCATTAAGCTGATCAAGCCCAGAACTATCAGTAAAACAACATCTGGAAAAATTAAGAGATTTGAATGCCTCAAACAGTTTACTGAAGGAACGCTGAATTTAGTTCCTGAGCCAATTATTTCAAAAAGATCACTTGTTCGTTCTTTCACTACCGGCACATGTAGGGAGGGAAAAACACCTCGACCTCAGTTGGGGAAAGGTGCTCTTCCACCAAGGCCCAGATTGAGTAACAAAGAAATTGTAGAGTTCCTAAAGAGGCTGGTTTCGGAGCAGACAGGGATTGCTGTTGATAATATCTCTACAACTGAGAACCTGGTAAGCTATGGGATTGATTCAATTGGAGTGGTCAGAGCAGCTCAAAAGCTTTCAGATTTTCTTGAAGTGCCAATTGGGGCAGTTGATATTTTCACTGCAACCTGCATTCAAGATTTGGCATGCTTCTCAGAGGATCTTGTCAAGAAGTCCCAACCTCAACATATGACCATTCCATCTTTTCTTCCAGAATCTGAGACTGGTTCTGCTGAGTTGGTAACTGAAGTTTCAATATCTCACCAATTGCATATCTGGCTATTGCAATTTGTTGCTCTTATTTATGTATCATCGATGCTGATCCTTCCTGCATATCTATCAATTTCTGCTTTTATGGACTTGATTTCTTCCAGCCAAACTATGATCAAAGTCAGTCCATGGTTGGACTATATGATTTGCTTAGCTCTTGCACCTCTTGCTTGGATCCTTTGCATAGTTTCAACCTGCATTTGTATTGCTTTGCTTGGGAATTCATTCCTTCAACCAAATTATGCTCTGACCCCTGAAATCTCCATCTGGTCGACTGATTTCGTTAAATGGTGGGCACTTTACAAGGCTCAAGACGTTTCTTCAAAAGTTATGGCAGTGCATTTGAGAGGAACAGTTTTCCTGAAATACTGGTTTCAGATGTTCGGAGCTAGGATTGGATCATCAGTTGTGCTCGATACTGTTGACATTACAGACCCAGCTCTTGTTTCCATTGGGGACGGGGTTGTGATTGCAGAAGGGGTTTTGGTCCAAAGCCATGAGGTGAAGAATGGAATCTTGAGTTTCCTTCCAATTAGAATTGGCCGAAATTCTTCAGTTGGTCCTTACGCTGTGATCCAGAAAGGAAGTGTTGTAGGAGAAGAGGCTGAAGTACAAGCATTGCAAAAGACAGAAGGAGACAAGCCTATTTCCAGATCTACCAAGGTCAACAACGTTCGAAAGGTAAAGACTAAAAAATTCCCATCTTAATTTTACTACAATTGTTGATCATTCACAAAGTTTAAAGACTTAAAGCTGTCTTGTAAACACAGCTTTGATTACTTAAAGTTACATTTGAAAACTTGTGTCAATTCTTTAATTCACCTTCATATCTATGCCTCTTTAAAATAGATTTAAGTCGGAATTTGATAACATTTTTTATTTCTCTACATTGGTTTCAGCATGCTGTGCTGTCAGAACCTCCCAATGATACTCAACTTGAGGCCTTTTACCACTTCATGGGCATCTACATGGTCGGTTTACTCAGTTCTCTTTCAGCAACTATTGTTTACTTCCTCTATATCTATCTAACTCAGAGAATGCCTTCTTTTCAACACTTTGCATTTATCTGCATCTCTGGCGCTTTCCACTGGTTTCCTTTCACCATCATTGCATATGCCACTATGATTGCTAGCACCGCCATTACCCCAACTACCTTTTCTCTATCAGTAGCCATTGCTTACCTAGCTCATGGCCTGATCCTGACCTTACTCACCAGCACTTTGACACATTTTCTGGCCAGAAATAAAGAAACAAAACAACCCCACCTGATAACTTGGCTTCGCCACCGCCTTCTCATTGCCTGCCATCTTAGATTTACTAAGCTCCTTTCTGGAACAGAAGCCTTCTGCATTTACTTGAGACTCTTGGGTGCAAAAGTTGGAAAACATTGCTCCATCAGAGCCATCAACCCAGTTTCGGACCCACAACAGATTTCAATTGGTGATAACGTACATTTGGGTGATTTCAGTCGAATCATTGCTGGTTTCTATTCCTCCGGTGGATTTAGATGTGGGAAAGTTGAAATGCAGGATAATTCATTAGTGGGAAGTCAAAGCCTAGTCCTCCCTGGTTCAGTTGTTCAAAGAGATGCTATTCTTGGTGCACTTTCAGTTGCCCCAATGAATTCAGTTCTCCAGAGAGGTGGTGTTTATATTGGGTCTCAAACTCCAGTCATGATAAAAAACACCATGCATGCTTTGGATGAGAGGATTGAAGAGATGGACACAAGATATAAGAAGATAGTTGGAAATCTAGCTGCAAATCTGGCTGCCACAACTCTTAAGGTTAGATCAAGATATTTCCATCGAATTGGTGTCAGCGGGAAGGGAGTTCTAAAACTGTATGATAACATCAAAGGGTTGCCAGATCACAAGATCTTCTACCCTGGAAAGACTTATCCTGTCACAGTTCGGCACAGCAATAGCTTGAGTGCAGATGATGATGCAAGGATCGATGCACGTGGTGCAGCAATAAGAATACTCTCACAAACAACAGCTGGGGATGAGTCTTCACTCCTTGACTTGACACTGAAAACAGGCAAGGCATTCTATGCACGCACGATTTCTGATTTTGCAACATGGCTTGTGTGTGGGCTAGCTGCAAGGGAGGAACATGTGAAACGCATCCCTCATGTGCGCGATGCAGTGTGGACTTCCCTCTGCCATGCCAACTCATATACCGAGCTGCATTATTACTCAAACATATGCAGGCTCTTCCGCTTCACGGATGGACAAGAGATGTATGTGAAGTTCAAGTTGAGGCCTTTTGATGAAAAGATCAGTGAAGACTCTGGAAAGGTGGAGCCTACGAGTATTCTCCCTCCGGAAACAGGCGCAATTCCTAGAGACGCTAATGACAACAGGCCATTACTTTTCCTCGCTGAAGATTTCCAACAACGAGTAAACTCCCCTGAAGGAGTTCGCTACATTTTCCAGTTACAGTTTATGCCCGTACCAAGTGAGGAAGCCTGCCAAGACATTGCACTTGACTGCACAAAACCATGGGATGAGAGGGAGTTCCCCTTTGTCGATGTTGGGGAGATATTAATCAATCAGAACCTCACCAATAAAGAGTCAGAGGAGCTGAATTTCAATCCTTTTATCCGATGCCACGAGGTGGATGTCATACGGGCTACATCATCCTCACAGAGTGCTTCAATTGATCACGGCCGTTCATTGATCTATGAGACTTGCCAGCATTTGAGAAATAGGGAACCACTTCCAGAGGCCTGGAGGATCTTCCTAGAGCAATCGGACGTAAAAGTGGATCTTTCCGGCTGTCCTATGGCAGCAGCATTAAAGAAACCGGATTCTGAAAAGGTGACACTGGCAAGAACTTGGTATCAAACTTCATGGGCCATTTTTGTTCAACCATTACTACAAACAATTCTGCCTTATTACCTCATGGGGTTAGTAATCTTTGGCCCTTTGAAGTGTGTACTTTACTTGAACACCATGAAGCATCCACTGCACTGGTTGCTTCCTTTGCTTTGGGTATCTTCAGGGATTTTGGCTGCATTAGCATGTGCTGTGACCAAATGGATTTTGGTGGGAAAGAAGAAAGAAGGTGGAACTGTTTTGTTGTGGAGTAAAGGGGTGTTTATGGACACAATATGGCAGGCTTTTAGGACATTGGTTGGGGATTATTTCATGGAAATGACAAGTGGGTCATTTTTGTTTGTGGTGTGGATGAAGCTCATGGGTTCAGAGATTGACTTGAGTGAGGGCGTTTATGTTGATAGCATGGGGGCAACTTTGAATCCTGAAATGGTGGAGATTGAAAGGAATGGGTGTGTGGGAAGGGAAGCTCTGCTGTTTGGACACATATATGAAGGTGAAGGAGGGAAAGTCAAGTTTGGGAAGGTGAGGGTTGGAGAAGGTGGGTTTGTGGGGAGTAGAGCTGTTGCCATGCCTGGGGTGACCCTGGTGAGTGGGGGCAATCTTAGTGCTCTCTCTCTTGCCATGAAGGAAGAAATTGTTAAGTCAAGGTAAAGGTTCATTAGTTAATTTGAAAACCAGTTGCCCCATTTGGATTATAATGTAATAATACTTGTTTGGCTGGTCTAGCAAATAAATCACCAGCTAGCATTATAATTTTTATAGAAAAATCAGTATTTATTGAAACTCTCTCTCTCTCTCTCTACTTTATTTTGAAGAAGGGAATTCACTCGTTAATATGAGCATGCACAGGTCTTATTGCCAAAAATGTAAATTGATGGAGTCAGCATTAGCCCCTAAAAAGTTGAATCTCATGGATCAGATATTTGTGGGACTATCTTCACCCAATATGGCTGCAAATAATTACTTATGTTCATACGTGAATGTTTTTAGAAGAAAAATATAAGATTAATTATTTTCTTGTAGTATTCTAGAAGAGAATAGAAGTTTGAGTGAATTAGATTATTTAGGGAAAACTTCTGAATTGGTTTAGTTGATGTATCTTAAGAGTCCTATTCCTATAATGAAGAGAAATATAATGTGATATTTTTATGTATAATTTTATTTCTTTATAGAACTCAAAATTAAGTATTTCTATGTACTAAAAAAAAATACTTCAAGAAGAACTAGTATGTTTATATTATAGTTACACGCCTAGCAAGAAAGAACATGTAATAGATATTATTAGTTGTGTATTTAAAATTGTGGTATGAAGAGCTAGAAGACAAAAAAAATAAATTAAAAAAATTAAAAAATAATAATAAAAATAATAATAGATAAAATGTATATTGATATTAAAACATTTATATTATCAACACACCCTGTAAAAACGAATGTGCAATGCACTCCACTGGTTTATGTACTTGAAATTCTATTATGGAGAGAAGTATAAAATCCAAAAAAAAAAATTCAATAAATTAAAATTAGAAAATAACACTTCTTCGTCAGGAAAGTTTTTGGAAATTTTCCAATCAGCTCGTATTGAATGATCAGCAAAAAAAATATTAGAAAATAACACTTCTTCGTTTGACTGCTTGTCCTTAGACTGCTTTACGAAATTATTTACATGGGTAACTCTTCATTAAAAATCAAAATCCCATTGACAATTAAGCTCCATCTAAACTAAAATATTTTATTCATTTTTTAGTGTTTGGTTACTCTGAATTCAAGTAAACATTTTACCAAATAAAATAATCTTGTGAAAACAATAACACTCGAATTTTTCTGATTGTGAAACACTATCGAGCCTGACTTAAGATGTGTCTCTCTTTTTCTCTTCAAAACCTAATCCTCTCCGGGCGCAAATCCTCTGAAGTAAATTCCCCTGCTGTCCCATGCGGTGCAAGGGATTTGATAGACCGTGCCTAGGGAAGACGGACTGTACTACAACCTTAGAGTAATGTAATTAGGTAAACGGTTCGTGCCAACCGAAGATAGGTTATACTTAGCTTTTGGTTATATGTGCATTTATCTTCTTAGTGATATCATTGTGTGCTTATAGCCACACGAATCATAATCATACATAGATTGAATTTTCCTATGTTAGATATGATTAGTCATTGTTATGAGATTTGTGATGAAGTTGGTTACATAACTTTTGTCTTTTATTATTTTTATTTTTGTTTTATTTTAATTGTTTATTTCAAAATCAACTTTTCAAGCAATCTATTTTCTTAAGTGTGTAGATTTAAATTAACTTGGATTCAGATTAGTTGACCAACGCATTCCCTTAGGTACGACCCTACTTATCACTGTACACTAATAAAGTGACTGTAGGAAAATAAATTATTTTTGACGGAGTATAGACATTTTGAGTTGATAGGAGATTGAAGACGACCTTGGGGGATTTATAACAGTGGGTAGTCCTGGCTCAGAAAGAAGCTAAATGCTTAAAACATGCCCTTAATTAAGAAAGATGACATCATGCAAAGGCTACTTGTTTATCTTGAACTTTGCTCGATCCCAAACCTTTTCTTAAGAATTATTCCACTTTAGGTATTCTACTAACCGCCTTATAGCCTTGCTAGCCCTGCTTGATAGGATTGATTGCCCTAGCCCAGATTTAGAGCTTGGACTTTCACCTTTCCATGGGGAAAGGGATTTCGTCAAAACAACAACTAGATAAGGAATTTACCTAGAGGTGCCTTAACCCCGAAGTTGGCCTTTCTTTTGTTGAATGCTTCCAAATGAATCGTTTTCTAGTTTCTTTGCTACTCTTTCTTTGGATGATCTCAAGGTCGATTTCCATGGACATGAAGATGACAACGAAGATATTGTCAGTCCTACAGCATCTCCTATCACCACTAGACGCACCACCTTCAAACGTATTACATGTTTTGGCCGCACACAAAGAAAGCTATTTATAAGTTGGTCTATCCAACTCGTCATCTCCTTCGCTATGATAACGGATTTAGAACTTAAAGGTTAACAAGGGTAAAGAGACGACAAAAAAACTACAGAACTTATATGAGCTCAGTCAATGTTAGAACTCCTGGAATGAAAAGTGGTTTGCCCGGAACAAACCTCTATACCTGTTGATCAAGACACGTTGGTTAGCAAAAAAAGCCACTATCATCCATCTATCAGAGTGAGAGCTCACTCATGCTTTTGCCACTTATTTAGCTTAGTCTCAATCGCACCTTTCAAAAGATAAAACCATGAATTCAGTAAGAATATATGGAGCAGTCCAACTTACGCTGTCCGCAGGTTAGCTTTTGTAATGCTTTCGGCAGAAGTCTGTTGTAATTACATTTAGATTCCATTTCCTATAGTTTAGTTTCTTTCTTTTATTAGATTGGTTGCGTCTTTTTAAGGGTAGTCCTTTTATTGTATTGTTCACGGGGTATTATTTATTGATTCAAATCAAACTGGACTCGAAGCTAAGCTGTACCTACTCTTCGTTCGGAAGGCAACCTACATCTTCCACTAGACTTGGTTAGAACGGAATGAGACAAGCATTTGATCCTACATCTTATTGACGATACAAATGAGCAATCCTGGCTAACAAAAAAGTGGAACTGTTAACACATTGGAAACAGTGAAGCTACGTGTTCGTAACCCATTTCATTAAATAAGGTCCTCTCTACCAATACCTAAAGGTTAGGCAACAATGGCATTATATACACATTTAGAGAAAGAGTTTGCATCCCTGGTTCAAGTTCCTGTTGCTGACTCAGTTGGGGGAATGGCCTTCATAGTGATTGATGCATGCAACATATCTTTCCAAGCAAAGGTGGAAGTTGGGCTAAAAACCCCACAAAATTGTCCTAACCATCCTTTTACTTAAGAAAACTAAGAGAAAACAACAAAAATGATGTTAAATATAGCTGGAAAAGTTGTAAACCCAATTTCCACACTTATACGACCAAAGAAAAGAAAAAGTAGAGTCTCCTATAGCAGCGAAATGAGTCAACCTACTTTTCTTTCAGAAAACGGGCAGTCAATTGAAATAGTTTAGTCAGCTATAGATGTCAAATGACTGAACTCGCTGTGTGATATCGCTTCTGAACTTTCCTTTTCTAGATTCTCATTCTTTCATTCTCTTACATAATTTAATTCACTTGGCTGATCTTTTCCCGGTCCTGTTCACCAGTTTTGACCACGTACTATCATGAATTTAATTTTATCTTTGAGTTTGCTCTTGGCTCAGAAGGAATGCTATCTAAATGCTTAACACATGCAAGTCGAACGTTGTTTTCTAGGAGCCTAAGAGACGGATAAAATTCTCCTAGCTTTAGTTAGCTTGTCTCGCCCATGAGGTTGATGCGAGTTGAGAACAAAGTGGTGAACGGGTGCGTAATGCGTTGGAATCTTCCTTTCAATTCGGGCCAAATCTTGAGAAAAGTTATCATGCGCTGTTTGATAAGCCTTCATAGTATTAAGTAGTTTGTGAGGTAAAGGCTTACCAAGCCGATGATGCTTAGCTGGTCTTTTCAGATGATCAGCTACACTGGGATTGAGACACGGCCCGGACTCTCACGGGTGGCAACAGTAGGGAATCTTAGACAATGGGCTCATACCCAATCCAGCAATCTGGCGTGAGTGAAGACTGTTCATCGGGTTGAAAGTGAAATTTGCCAAACAGTGGCGGAATGCTCTCGAAACCAATTCACTTAGGTGAGACAGAAGATAATGGAATTTCGTGTATAGGGGTTACATCCACAAATGTACGAAGGAACGCCCAAAGCGAAGGCAACTCTCTGGGTCCCTACCGACGCTAGGGTGCGAAAGCATAGGGAATGAAGAGGATTAGATACCCACGTAGTCCATGCCATAAACAATGAGTGTTCGCCCTTGGTCGACTAAGATCAGGGGCCCAGCTAATGCGTGAAACACTCCGCCTGGGGAGTACGGTCTCAAAAACTAAACTCAAAGGAATTGACGGGGGCCTACACAAGTGGTGGAGCATGTGGTTTAATTCGATACAACGTGCAAAACTTACCAGCCCTTGATATGTGAACAATCTAAAACCTGTCCTTAATGGGACGATACTGATGTTCATACAGGTGTTACATGGCTGTCGTCAGCTCGTGTCGGGGCGTGTACTGTTCTGGGCATGTGCTTGGGGCTTTGCATAAGATGTATTAAGAGCAGGAGGCTTCCTTTCTTTATCGAGATAGTGTCCTTATCCCTATGACTCAAAGCTTTAAAAATCTCTGCTGCCAAACCCCTTCTAAATGACTCAGATTCCCATTGAAGTTGAGGCAAATGAATGGTTGACAACTGAGGGAACAAACCTGAACCGGCTTACGTGGAATGCTTACTAAGCTAAGGGGTTAGGCAAGCTCCGATTAATTGAGATTAGATGGACATTTTCTAGCTTCAAAAACAAAGATGAAATACGGGGGCCTGCAAGAGAGATAGAAAGTGTTATATATTTCACTATCATGGGCATAGAAGAGAAATATTGGGGGATCGCCTAGGCACCTCAGTTAGATGAGGACGAGAGTCCCTTATGAGTCATTTTCTACTGCGCTACCTCCTCGATTGACCACGGATACAGAGGCGAATTTAACCGACGTTTGTCACCCAGGGGGACCAAATTCATGGCAAAGAAAAAAGCCCCGAAGGAGATGAAAAGCGGAAAGAAACGGCCTTAAGAAATGAGGTTTACCAAACTTATGGGTCTAGCAAAGAAGGAAGCCTTGAACTTTTGATGTAGAAGGGAGCAAAGGGACAAAAGGATG